TTTCAAGTTTATAATTTTCAGTCACTCATAGATAGGCGCAAACCCTACTAACTTCAAAGCTTCCAATCAGCAAGTATTACCTACAAAACATTGTTATATTGAAAGCTATTCATTTTGCTGGAAAGTTCTTCATTTGGAATAAAGAGAGTAATCATTAATACATGCACATGTTTATACACCTATATTATATGCAGACAAACGCTTACATTTACTCCTAACACATCATGTCATTCCAGGGACACCATGCAGAGATCTGGTGCCTTGCAGTGAGTCCCAATGGGAAACATGTGGTGACGGGGGCACATGACAAGTCTCTACGCATCTGGGAAAAGACTGAGGAGCCTCTTGTATTGGAAGAGGAAAAAGAAATGGTGAATGTTAACGTGTATATTTCGATTCATTCAGTAGTTGTTTGAATCAAATTAAGAATGAAAATGCAATAAGGCCACTTTCTTGATGAATTTTGTGGGATAAAAGTGATGTGTTTGAGGTCAAACCATTTACATTGCATAAATATTGAGATTATATGAGATTAGATTTTCATTTCTTATTTGATTGAAGTGGAAAATGAATATTGATTCCTTCCTACACCACAAAAATACATGATTGAAATTGAGTTCTGTTGGTGCAGTTGTTTTGAATCCTATAATTTCAAATAATGTTATATATTTGCTGAATCTTGTAGGGCTTGAAAGGAACTTTTTATAATTGAAATAACTTTTCTGTTAATGATTCATAAATGATTTTTTTTTTGCAGGAACGTGAAAAGGAGTACGAGGAAGCCATTGCTGATGGTGAAGAACCTGTTGTAAGTAACTTGCCTTTTGTTGAACCTTCAATGTGATGTGTCTATATTTTTCATTTGCAAATCTCTTACTTTTTGATCACATATGATCTGATGAATTTTACCAAAGAGAAAAAATAAGCTGTGAAAAAAATCACAAATTTTACCCTTTAAAGTGAACTTGAAAATTTCTTAATTTCCATTATAAAATCATAACTAAAGAATATTTATAACTGATTTTGAATTTTTGTTTTTATATTTCAGGTCCCAGGTGAAGCAGACTGTGAAGTAGGAATGGCAGGCAAAAAGACTGTAGAAACAGTGAAATCAGTAAGTAGTGTTGATTACACAAAGCCACTCTTTTTACTGTGATAAAATGTTTTGAAGTTCGGTAAAGCTTACCTATAATTTAGTGTTAAATGTGAATATAGTATGTTTCTCATCTTTTTATTGTAATGTTTTGTTTATGCAGGCAGAAAAGTTGATGGAGGCTGTTGAAGTTTATAGAGAAGAAACAGCAAAGAACAAAGACCATGAAGCTGAGTGCAAGAGGATGGGAAAAGAGGTTTGTGTCAAAATTTGGAAAACATGATTGAACGATGTTGATATTGACCTCAAAATTATAAAGCTTAAGGAAAAAATTGATAAATTTCATTAAATTTTATGGTCATTTCTGAATGACACAATAATATGTTATTCTTAATTTTTTATATATTTGATTCAGCTTCCCCCTCCACAACTTCACCCACTATTTCAAGCTTATGGTGTGTCCACTCCTGCCAAATATGTACTCGAAATTATAAGGAGAATAAAATCTAGGTAACAGAATGTCTAGCCATAAAGCAGGTCACTGATACTGCCAAAATTTAAATGTTTAACCATAACAAATGAGCTCTGATCAGCATTCATGGTTACATGTAATTGATGCTGTGCAGTTGTATAAATCCTCTGTTAAGGAGACACTAAATGTACTGTTTGTATTTATACTATGTTTGAAACAAATATCACATAGATTATGAGATTTTAAAAAAGTTTAAGATACCAAATGAATCCACATTTGCATCATTTTAATATTATATGTTCTTATATGCTCTTAGTGAGTTGGAAGAATCCTTGCTGGTGCTACCATTCTCATATATACCAGACTTACTAGGACTACTGAGCATGTTCATAGACAATGGATGGGAAGTGGAACTGACATGTAGATGCTTGCTCTTCTTACTCAGGTAGATACCGACACATCTGTTGCTACACAAAGTTTTTGTAGTTTTTGTTTGGATAGTATGTTAATGTATTCAGTATTTTATACAAAATTAAAATCAAACAGGAAGTTTCTGAATTTCATTATTTTATGAATTTTTTGAAAAATTATTTATTTATTTCAACATTTCTTTTCAGAATCCACCATGGCCAGATCACTTCTAGTCAGGTGATGGTGCCTGTTATTGAGAAACTAAAAACAAACACTTCCTCCAAAGTAGGAGAGCTTAAAGTAAGTGCATACATTGTTGATATCAGCAAAATAGTAATGACAAATATTTTGTGGCGTGTTTTTATGAGAACATGTTTTCAGTATGTTCTGTATATTAAAGGGATAACAACTCTTTGTATGAGATCTATATTTCACAATAAATACATTGTAAACAACTTGTGGAAATATAATATCCGTATTCCATTTTACCACAAAAGTGGCAGTTATATAAATTATCTGAAATCTGTGCATGCCATTTGGACTGCGTGACCTCCATAGATGATTATACTCTGTAATAATTTCAGAATAGATTATTACAAAAAAAAAAAAAAAAAAAAAAAAACTTAAAAAAAAAAAAAAAACAGGGACTAACTTTGAATGTAGAAATGGATTCATTAACCATTGGTAAGTATGAGAAAATTGCCGTTCCAAGAAAATTTTTGGCCAAAATGAACAGTTGTTATCCTTTTATTAAGTATAAATGTCACAGATTATTTCATAATATTTTGATTATATTTGATTTTATGTACAGAGAAATTGAGGAACACTTTCAAAAAGTGTGACAAAAATTTTCTAAAATCTTCTTTCATGTTGTAGGATATTATTGGTTTCAACATGGCAGGACTTCAGTTTCTGAAACAGCAGATGGAACAAAAGGAGGAAGTCAAATTTTTTGCAGATGCAACGGACAGATTTAGTCAGAAGAAGAAAAAGCAAAAATCAAAAGCTGTATTATCATTTAAGATTTGAAGACTCTAAAACAGTGATGTTCATATAAATTAATTGCTGGAGAGCTGATAAAAAAGTGTGCAAAACCAGTCTAACACTCCAAGAATTCTTAAAGCAGAACTTGGAGGAAAGGATCAGTGACCTGAAGACTGCTTTTATCAATAATGGTACAGAATGGATGTCAGAAAATAATGCTGATATAACTACTATTTTTCCTTTCATATGGCCACCCAAAATGTATGATTTTTGGGTATGATATCTCAAACGTTTGCTGGTCTCATATTTTTACCTGAATCTAATATATAGCAATAATAGTGATTATTGTTAGATTATTGCAGAAGCAGAACAAAATATGTGGGACATTTAATTGCTAGAAAATATAATGACATTTGAGTGACAGGATTACTGGGAAAGTAAGTGTATTTGTACTAGTGGACTGATGTCCTCGATTCATACCTCTGAAATGATAAAAGTCCTCAAAAGATGACTCAGTATATTTCCTAGAACTAAATCATATTAAATAAAAATGGAACAAAACATCTAGTTCAAGTGATCGATCACAACTATAAGATCAAATATTTAGGAGTTCCTGACAGCTGGGTTGGGTTGAGCAATGCTTTGTTAGTAAAAGAAAATGTTTTCTTTTTTTTCCTCAAGTAGATTTGGTGTGAAAACTCCAGATCCATGTAGGGTAATATAATCTTTATAAGGATGATCTGCATGGCCACTTCAGTTCTACAGCCTAAAGGAATGATGTATGCCCCTAAATTTATAAAAAAAAATTGACATGACCCTTAAAAAACTGCTAAACTTTCCTTTAAAGTTAATTGGAACACAAATACAGTACATATGCAATACACATGAAACATGAAAACTCAACCTTGACGTACAGCAAATAAAATTCAATGATAAAAGAAAAAGCAATTAAAGTAAAGAACTGTTAATCCATTTAAATACACAGTAGAAGAGAATCACAATTCATTTAGCTACACGTATATGTGCTTTTTGCCTTTGATGTATGTTGAAAGAAAATGTAGTAGCCTAGTAGGCTTAAATCACTGGAATCTAAATGAGAATAAAATTATAAAAGCTGCTATATAGTGCTAATTATACAGTAAATAGTTGTTCTAAAACAAAAGAGTGCATTTTACTCAATATCTTAATCAATAGCCCTAACTATAGGTCGTTCTAGTGATAGCAAATGCATCCAATAAAAATTATAAATAGATAATTATATAAATATGGTATACTTTAAAGGGATAACAACTCTTTGTATGTGATCTATATTTCACAATAAATACATTTTAAACAACTCATGGAAATATAATATATCCTATTTTACCACAAAAATGACAGTAATAGCAATAAATCTTAAATATGTGCTTGCCATGGGACTGCGTGACCTCCACAGATGGCTATACTCTGTTATTATTATATATATATATAAAAAAATAATAATAGATAAATAAATAAATAAATAAAACTTTTGAGGGGGAAAAACAGAGACAAACTTTGAATGTAGAAATGGATTCATTAACCATTGGTAAGTATGGGAAAATTGCTGTTTACCCCAGGAAAATTAATTTTTTGGCCAAAATGAACAGTTGTTATCCTTTTAAATTTAGTCTACATTAACTTTTGTAACCAATACAGTCTCAGTTTTATTATTTTTTAAAGGATTGTCAAGTCATGTTCAAGTACTGCCGCTTTCTATTTTAGATACCTATCAACTTAACGTGCTCACAAACACGCACACCCCATTTAAATTCCAAAGTTAAGCAAAACGCCCACATCGTGTGACCTACTAACCCGTCCTCCACACACGTGTGTCTTTTTAGGTCAAGGTTACTGGGATTTGCACTTCAAGCTCGCCATCTTACAACTTGCTCTAGGTAAGGGATTATCAAAAGCAAATTTCACAATTTCACAAATATTTAGTCTTGTATGACAGTGGTTACACTCATGTAATATTTATTGCAACAAGGAGCACTTCGGGATCGAATTTTGTGGAGTGTCACTTAGGTTCTCTTAAAGTGAAAGTGCATGGGTGCTCAAAAACATTTCAACAAGAAAGTTAACTTTAGTCTTAAATAATTTCAAACTTTTATAAAATTACCAAGGTCAGGATAAACATGTTAACAAGAGTCATGAGGGGAACTTAATTTTTCATAATTCAACTCAAATGGAAGTGTGTGTCGTAATGTACATATACATGTAGAAGTACATGTAGTAAAATTTCCAGAAGAAATTCTACATGACTCAATTTGCTGATTATATTGCATCACAGTAGTATGTATGTGTACGTATCAGCTGCCTTAGTGCATTGAAACAAGGTCTAACTAATAGTCTTCATTTAAGGCTACTTACAGTAATATAAAGCATCATGAGTCTGTCCAAAGTTCTCCCTGAAGACTATGGTCTGGTGGTCATGACAGGGGCAGGAAGCATCTTTGTTAATATGTGGCACGCTATGAATGTGGCAAATGCCCGTAAGAAGTTTGAGGTTCCGGTAAGTGGTGTACATTTTGAATTCTGATTTAATGTTTTGCTGGGGTGTCTCGATAGTTCGAAGGTTCATTGGTCCGAAAAACGGTAACATTTTCATCGGTTTTTTAATCAAGGGTTCATTGGTTCGAAGGTTCTGTAGTGAACATTCGGACCAATGAACCTTCGGACTATTGCTACGGCCCCGTTTTGCTGGTTACAAAAACTAATAAGCAACATTTTTCCTTGGGATTTACTGTACTCAGTATGTGATTGCATATGCAAAAACTTTCCTTTTCCTAAACCTGTCTTAAATCTGCCTGCTTTAGTTTTGTACTGTTTTTTCTTAATTTTTTTTCTGCATACAATGTGTCTGTATTATATTCCTCTACCCCTTACGCAAGTAAACATATTTTGGTTCATTATAACATACATTTACACATTATTAAACTTTCAATCATTTCCAGTATCCTCTAACATACAGTCCTGTCAACAATGGAGAGAACCAGTTCAACTGCATCCAAAGGTCTCACCAAAACTTGTAAGTCCCATGACTTGACTGCCCATGCACCAGTTGAAACTTTATCTTTGAAATACAATGTACGGTCTTTGTGATTAAGTTACAGAGTATGTATACTAAGACTTGGTTCCCATAGTCCTATCTTGCTAGCATGATCGATCTAACCCCAAGGGGATTCTTGCTAAATTGCATTCAGTAAAGCAGTTAAAATGTCTGTCAAGACTCAAGCCCACTGAAGCTGCTAGGGGGGGTAATTAACTTTTGTGCATGCTTAAACTGAACGCAATTTGGGAAGAATCCCCTCAAAGATGGAGTGATCCTGCTAGTACGATAGGGTTATGGTCCCTGAGATAATACCATTAATTGTGCCACGTTCATTTATGTGATAGTCTACTTTAAGCCACCCATATCCTGTGATACCAAAGAAATGTCGATGTAAGTATTGATGTTTTTGTCTTCTTTTAATTTCAGCCTTGAAAATTATCCTCCATTTTTAATGCTCCTTTTCCTTGGTGGACTGCAGTATCCAGTAAGTTTTGTGATAGCTGGCTAGACACATGCCAGGTGGTAAAACTATAGTCTTGGAAGTATGGGAAGAAGAAATAGGGTTTCTAGATTATCAATCACGGTTATAAAAATGATGGCAGCCAACAAATCTATATATTGATATTTTACCTCTTTCCAAAATCCTAAATCCATCGCAGTACAATTTACTTAAGTTTAATATATACTGTATATATATATATATATATATATATATATATATATATATGATGGTGGCTGTGCAAAATCAATAAAAGAGAATATAGCAGTAAAGATATAATTAACGCCATCTCTTGATATATGTTGGTTTATATATTAATATATTATTATATATTAATTCTATGGTTTATATATTAATTTACAGAAAATCAGTGCTGGCATGGGTACCGTGTACTTGGTGGGTCGTATAGTGTATGCACTTGGTTATAATACTGGAGGTAAGGGCTTTATGCATAATTAAAGGTAAAGATATAACACATAAAATAAATTTGGATAAAATTTGATATAAAATTACTGGAGCTTTTCATCATTTTAAATAAGACAGAAAATTTCTGTTATAATCTTTCAGAATTGGAATTTTATATTCCATGAATAATAATTCAATTCTAAAAAAATTCCATGATGGATATAACATGAATTTCTTTTGTACAAGAGATAAATAATATTTTCTTCCTTAGAAAAAGAAAAAAATGGAATATGTGACAACCTGATAGCATGTTTGTGTTATTTGGATAGTTAAAAGATAGATTTATATTTTAATCTGTCGTACAATGTGCTTTACTGTTTATTCCTAGATTGTTTTTTTTTTATTTAAAAAAAAAATTTTTTTTGAAAATATTGTAATCACCAGTAAATTTTCCCACTATTAACTGTTATTTGTTTCTTATGGTAATTCAAGTATTTGAAAGCATGACATTATCAGCTGTTAAATTATTTGGTATTAATATTTATTTATTTATTTATTTTTATTTTTTTGCTATCTCAATCTTAACAAACCACAGCATTAGACTTATTTTAGTTGAGGACATCATATGATATAGTCTATTGTAGCTTAAAGGGGGACTAACATTTTTGTGAATCTTCACCAGTATTTAATTACTTATCAACTATAGCCCTGTTGATCAAAATTTTTTAATCCCACAAATTCTCCATTTAAGTGAGCACTAATATGCACATGTAAGCTCCAAGTTAATATCTTCTGTTGTTGTTTTTGCTTGCACGGAGGATTTAGTTTTGCTTTTGACATTCTCATGGTGACTTTATCCTGTAGATCCCGACAAGCGCAAACGTGGTGGATTCCTCCACATTGCAGAGTTGGTCATGCTTGGTAGCACAATTATGCTGGGGTATAACTTAATCAAAGACCATGGGATGTTTTGGAAACGTTAGTTATGTAAGTAACCACTTGGGCCTTTTCACATAAGTTCCAACTTTCTATCTTTGGCATTCCATCCATAGTGCTTTTGGTTGTAAATGTGGCCTAACTCTCCTTTACAAGTTTGCTTCCAACTGCATGGCTAGAAGTGTAACTGAGCATGCAATCTGTAGCTGGAGCTCTGTTTAGGTGATTCTCTTATGTGATAGCTGGGCTATTACACTGTCAATCCCTCAAAATGAAACACTGAAGATGGAATGCTGAGATAGAATGCATGGTATGAAAATGCCTTTAGACAACCCTTTGGTTACAAAGGCTTCACTAAATATACTAACAATTCTTTTTTGGAGAGAGAATCTAGTCTGTCTCTGGATTTGGTCTATTGTTGGTAATTCAAATTTTTCTCAAAACAGATCCCACGAAACGTGTTGCAGGAGAAAGAATCTATGGATTCCCGCTTCTTATTTTGATTGGTAATACACTCTCATTGGGATATCACTTGATTCACGAACAGGGATTCAACTGGCCTTTTAAAAATTGGTGGGTATTAGTCATAGATGGAACTGGAAAATAGAAAAACGCACAGGTCCTTTATGCTCTTAGGAAAAGAAAAAAAAGGAGGAAGTGCACTTGGTCTTAACTCATAATAATGTTGTTGAAGGGATAAAATGTGTTGGGGGGAGAAGGGGGGGGTGTAAGACGAGATCAACTGGAGACTGACAGGTACGTGCCAAAGGTAACTTGAAAGTTAAGGTTAATTTTTAGCTTTTTTCCCCTTTGTTTTTTTTTTGAAAAGGTGATGTACAGTAAGACTTGCTTTATCTGCTTTGAAAGAAGACTTCAAAAGTATTTCAAAGAAAATAATCTGTATGATAATGTTGAGCAGAAGCAATGAAATGAGGCCTGTCAGACAGATCATCCAAACTGTTAAAAATTACTGTGCTTCACCTTTATATATGACATAAATTTAGAGACCGGACCATTCGAGTAATCTTCTGCATGGAAACATAAAAAACAATTTAGTTGAAATGAGGTTACATTTTGCAGGAATGCTTGGCAAACCATAGTTATGCTGGTACCTGTGCTTTTTGTCTGAAGAATCTGTTGGCTTTGATGACTGCAGAAAGCATGCTTACCCTTCAGTGTACCCTGATTGATTTTCTTTTGTTATACCTTGGCAGTTGCTAAATAGTGACAAATCATTTTCTGAGCAGTTCGGTCATTAGTAAAGCCATTTTTCAGATCCAGGAAAAGGTGCTTTTTATCTGAAGAATTAGTTTGCTCCGATTACAATGTTTTGTCAGTTGCTTGATAAGTGACAATCATCTTCTGAGCTGTTCAATCATTAAGAGTGCTGTTTTTTTAGACCCAGAGAAAGCGAAGAGAGGCTGTTTCTATGGTATTGCTCTAGTGGGACTGCTAGGGAATACTTTATCCCTAGCATATCACTTATTGCGCCCCAAGTGGCACACCTGCTGCTGAGCTAGGTGGGTTGTACAGTTTGATGAAAGTCATATTTTTATGAGTTTGATGAATTAGGTATAGGGTGTTTAAAAATAATCTACCCATTTTGAAATTTTAAAAACTGTGAAACTTACTATAGGTAACTGAGAAGCTTAAACAAAAGTACATCAGTGTGTAGGGCACACCTGAAATTTTTTCTTACAACCAGTTCTTCAAACAGTTTTCTCCTGCTTTGCCTTCATCAACTCTTGGAATTTTTGAAAATTTTCCAAATTACAATACTGTTAATCCTGTCTTTATGGTAACCACAGAGAAAAGGACCCACATTTCATATCTGATCTGCAAATTGACATGCTTTAACTTGGATTTCTTTTTTTTTTTTACTATTTCAAAATGGGCATTTTATTTTATTTGTTGTTTTTATTGAACACGCTGGAATTTGATGTCAGGTTGATTTGGTCAGATTAGGATAGATCTGTCACGAGTAAGAGTGTTGGTCTTCTAGTTGTAATTGCTGCAGATAATGTTGTTGGAAAGTGAAAGTTAAGGTAAAACTTTTAGGAGGCCTGTTAAATGAAATCGGTTTTTAAAAAGTCAGGCATTCGGTGACTATTTAGAGGAAGAACCCTAGGAGGTAAGAGATTTAATATGGACTAGTTACATTGCTGGTTTTAAGTAATAAATGTTCTGAACAGCAAAAATTCTTCCTAGGATCCATTGAGGATTCTTGTGTGTTTGGTAAGAGAAATTTTAGGTAATTGTTAATAATTGTTTTGCCAAGTATATATAATTAAATTTAAAGCAAATTTTAAAATCTAGTTATACAAAGGTGACCACATAATACATGTAACTTCATGATGTTAACTTTCAAAACTTGAAATGGAAATCAGATAATTTAGTTTCCCCTTTGTGTTCATTTTCACACTTTTGATGGATCGCATAGGAAATTAAAAAAATAAATTAACAATATAATTTTGATTTTAAATTGAATTTTTATATTATTTTTTCAGAGGATCATGCTGTTTTTTTGCAGAAGAACACAGCAAGGGTTGGATTTGTAGACTTACGCTAGACTTAATCATTCCAACAGAAGACTGACATACAGGAAGGCATTTTATTTAAAATACAAACATGACGAACAAATACCAGTTTCATTTTGCTGAAAGAAATACTTCAAGTAAAAGGACAAGCCCATAGGCAGCTTGTTACAAAATGGCTAAATGTTTTAAAAGCTCAGCCTCCTAATTAATAATTTTAAAGATTACCAAAACGCGACAGGCTTTATCAAGATGTATGTTGTCTTTTCTACATATTGCAGTGCAGAGTGCATGCTTTTCTTTTAGTTAAAATAGGCTTTTGCCATTAGAAATAAAGTAACATTTACTTGCATTCTGCATTGAATGTCCTTTGGAATTAAATGTGTTCATTATTGTGATAATTTGGAGTTTTGCCAATCATGATGCAAGTTTAAATTTAAAAAAAAAATTCCACTTTAACTGCTTTTCTCATCAAGTACTGACTAAAGTGTGATTCTCCATGTGGTGTTTGTTTCATATATCATCAGCTAATGTTCATTTAACAACCTTTGTACGTTTTCATAGTGATATAGTAAATCATAGTAATAAAATTTTACTGTCCCAGATTTGTCATTCGAAAGGACCAGAAGAATAAAAAGTACACTAAAGAGGCATAACGTGAAATCTTATCAAAATCTGATTTTCAATTTTAATTAGAAAAGTAAGCCAGTGACTAGATTATTGCAACACCAAAATTCATTTGGACTTTTGGGATGTAAAAATGAGTTAAGAGTGTGTGTCAATTATATTTTACAGATTGCAACTGTACTTTTAAGTTTTGTGCTAACAATCTACAAATGTTATTCTTGCGAGGATTTTTTCTATTTTAAAGCATTGAACTGAAGAAGTTAATCATTTATAGGTTTCACAATAAGGTTGAAAATCTTATAAACTAAGAGGTATGTTTTCATTTGAATCTTGTTCTTGAGATAAACTACCGACTCCCAAAACATCTAAGCTCTTGGAGTTTATTGCAGTTTCACATCACGTAAGCTTGTTTAGAATTACAACTCAATTTATCATGCATTTCAATGGCATTAAAAAAGACTAAAGTCTATTTATCAAGTGGGTAAAGTGAGTGAATTATGAAAATCTCCCACATCCTTCATCTTCAAGGAAAGGCAAAAACCTACCCCTCTATAATTTAAGAAACAAATTGTACATGTAAAATTTATCTATAGAAAACTTAAAGCATTACTCTGTGAATGCTAAACAAGACTGATGGAGATGGCATGAGCATGCTTTGTTCCTTGGGGACCTCTTCATCATAGTTTAAGTGCATGTAAATATTTGATCTTGTGTTGAAGATATTGTGAAAGTTCTTTGGCAGACTGTTGGTAACTGGCTTGGATTTTCTTCCACACGTCCGTCTTGATACTGTCTTCATGCTGAAAGAATGCCAAAACATGTTTCCCTGTTTACAAAACAACTGGGATTGCAAGGTAATTTACACTTATGTAGAAACTTTCAGTTCATGAAATTTATCAAAAATAAATTCATGTTAAAAAAAAAATGCAAACTTTCTAACATACTGATAAAAAAATTACACAACAGACTATTAGTGGAACTGAACACCCAGCAAGTTGACCTCTTTGGCATTACCTACCGTTTGCTGCAAAGAATCTGCAAGCTTGAAAGATTGCACTTCCAAAGACAATATTTGTGCATCTACTCCCTGGATGACTTTGTGAAATTCTTCAGTGCAGTGTTCCACTTTTTGGACAACTGTGTTAAAATGATCAAAAGTTGCAGGCTGAAATTGTAAAAAAAAGCTGTTCAAAGCAAAAGCAAGATAAATGCAGTATAAATTCTCTTTTATGGATTCAAATTCATGAAACAAATCCAACAAATATTTTGGTGTTACCACATCAGTGAGAAGTCACAAAACCCAACTATTTGTACCAATAAAAATAATACCTGAATAAATGAGCACATTAAAAATGGGAACATTTTTCCTTACTTTAAATTTGAAGAGAAAAATATCTTTTGTAAAAGCTGCAGAAGTGTCTCAATCACTTATTTGGCTAACATCTAACACACGTTTCTTAACCCACACAGTATGAGGCATATTTACCAGTACAACTGTTCCTGGGTTTTTCTTCTTCTTTTTCTTTGTAAGTGAAGTTTTCCATGGCTTGAGCATTTTATTGCACACACCCAATAAAACTGATAGGTAAGCTAGTGTCTGAAATTCAGTAATATAGCCAGATTGTTACTGTGTCCATTTTACAACTATCACTTCAGCATCTATGCTGTTTTTAAATACCTAAAACAATTACATTAAACCATCATTTCTATAAATTCCTACTAATACTTTGTTTGAAAGTGAATATAATATAAAGTTAATACAGTGACATCTTTCAATATAAAATGGTATCACTTCTCAGTTTTATTGTTTCCCTTCACCTCAGCAAGGAGACCCCATTTCTCCAGCAGGTCAGCTTGGAGGTCTCCAGTCACATCATCTATAACAGACTGGGACTGGGATTGCAACAGTGCTGAAATATAGGGATTTCATACATGAGAAATCTTGCAGAAAAAAAAATTCAAGAATTGTGTATGGATTCACATAAATGAGTATGGAGTAAGAAACCTGTCACAGCAAACAGTTCTAATTGACCATTGTAGAACATTCTGCCAACAAAGAGCACGACATTGACTGGAATTCCATTAAAATCTTAGATTCTGAGCAGTCTGTAGTCCTCCCCAAAATTATTCAATGCCATTAATAAACAGAGACAGGGAGGTTAATTTGCCAGATGTCTATAACAGCTTGCCACCTTGCTCTCAATTAGTAATGTCTATATGTTTTTGTACAGAACTTAGATTCCAATACCATACTTCTGAAACTTTTGTCCAGTTTTCAAAGTTTAACTTTGCTACTTATTTACAATTGTATAAATACTAACAAGGGATCAATAATAATTTGTATAATAATAACTAGTGTTTTCATACCTTGAATCGTTTCATGCACAGATGCCAACTGCTGCTCTTTCTCAGGGTCTCCTTTATCTGAAAATTAAGAACAAAATATAGCTCTCATTATGCTTGAAACGTCATGCCTGGTTTGTTAAAATGGCATTCAAAAAGCATTTGGTTTTATTATTACACTTAAAACAATAAGGAGTAGAGCCCCGAAGTTTGCAAAACTGGAAATTCTGTAATGTGTGACATACATATGAACAAAAATAAGGAGAATCTGGAAAAAAGGGATACTTTGGGTAACCAATTTTAGAGTTAGATATCTTACCTGACTTTTCTTCATATTGTTTCCGCACATAGAGTACATTGTCCACCATGGTCACAAACAGCTGACCATGTCCTCCTTGTAGATAAGCTGATAACCTTGTTGGACAAGGACCTGAGAGGGGATACTGAAATATAGCATTTCACACCATTTTATAAATATTTCAGAATATAAAACTAGGAGCTGCTCAATGAAAAAAGAATCATTTCTAAAGAGATAAAAAAATACCTTTACCAAAAAAGCACAACATTTCAACCCTTCTTCAAAGGCCCTTGATCATGTGACTGACCCTAAGATGAAATGGCATCAAGTGTATAAGCTCACATCATCTAAAAGTCATGTGCTCGAGACCCACTGATGAAGGTTTGAAACGTCATGGGTTAAAACCTGTTGTCTCATTAGAAATAATTTACCTGTTTAATCATCATTAGTTACAAGAAACAATGGAAAACTTATTTCACCCTGTAGCTGCTCATGGTTGCTTGTATTTTTTATAAAAAAAATTATCCAACATATGATACTCCAATGCAGAATGTGGCACTACCTGTAGCTATTACTTTTACCACTTTCTGCTGTCCAGAGAGAGAGAGAGAGAGAGAGAGAGAGAGAGAGAGAGAGAGAGAGAGAGAGANTCTTTTCTATTTTAAAGCATTGAACTGAAGAAGTTAATCATTTATAGGTTTCACAATAAGGTTGAAAATCTTATAAACTAAGAGGTATATTTTCATTTGAATCTTGTTCTTGAGATAAACTACCGACTCCCAAAACATCTAAGCTCTTGGAGTTTATTGCAGTTTCACATCACGTAAGCTTGTTTAGAATTACAACTCAATTTATCATGCATTTCAATGGCATTAAAAAAGACTAAAGTCTATTTATCAAGTGGGTAAAGTGAGTGAATTATGAAAATCTCCCACATCCTTCATCTTCAAGGTAAGGCAAAAACCTACCCCTCTATAATTTAAGAAACAAATTGTACATGTAAAATTTATCTATAGAAAACCTTAAGCATTACTCTGTGAATGCTTAACAAGACTGATGGAGATGGCATGAGCATGCTTTGTTCCTTGGGGACCTCTTCATCATAGTTTAAGTGCATGTAAATATTTGATCTTGTGTTGAAGATATTGTGAAAGTTCTTTGGCAGACTGTTGGTAACTGGCTTGGATTTTCTTCCACACGTCCGTCTTGATACTGTCTTCATGCTGAAAGAATGCCAAAACATGTTTCCCTGTTTACAAAACAACTGGGATTGCAAGGTAATTTACACTTATGTAGAAACTTTCAGTTCATGAAATTTATCAAAAATAAATTCATGTTAAAAGAAAAATGCAAACTTTCTAACATACTGATAAAAAAATTACACAACAGACTATTAGTGGAACTGAACACCCAGCAAGTTGACCTCTTTGGCATTACCTACCGTTTGCTGCAAAGAATCTGCAAGCTTGAGAGATTGCACTTCCAAAGACAATATTTGTGCATCTACTCCCTGGATGACTTTGTGAAATTCTTCAGTGCAGTGTTCCACTTTTTGGACAACTGTGTTAAAATGATCAAAAGTTGCAGGCTGAAATTGTAAAAAAAGCTGTTCAAAGCAAAAGCAAGATAAATGCAGTATAAATTCTCTTTTATGGATTCAAATTCATGAAACAAATCCAACAAATATTTTGGTGTTACCACATCAGTGAGAAGTCACAAAACCCAACTATTTGTACCAATAAAAATAATACCTGAATAAATGAGCACATTAAAAATGGGAACATTTTTCCTTACTTTAAATTTGAAGAGAAAAATATCTTTTGTAAAAGCTGCAGAAGTGTCTCAATCACTTATTTGGCTAACATCTAACACACGTTTCTTAACCCACAGTATGAGGCATATTTACCAGTACAACTGTTCCTGGGTTTTTCTTCTTCTTTTTCTTTGTAAGTGAAGTTTTCCATGGCTTGAGCATTTTATTGCACACACCCAATAAAACTGATAGGTAAGCTAGTGTCTGAAATTCAGTAATATAGCCAGATTGTTACTGTGTCCATTTTACAACCATCACTTCAACATCTATGCTGTTTTTGAATACCTAAAACAATTACTGTAACATTAAACCATCATTTCTATAAATTTCTACTAATACCTTGTTTGAAAGTGAATATAATATGTTAATACAGTGACATCTTTCAATATAAAATGGTATCACTTCTCAATTTTATTGTTTCCCCTCACCTCAGCAAGGAGACCCCATTTCTCCAGCAGGTCAGCTTGGAGGTCTCCAGTCACATCATCTATAACAGACTGGGACTGGGATTGCAACAGTGCTGAAATATAGGGATTTCATACATAACAAATCTTGCAGAAAAATAATTATCAAGAATTGTGTATGGATTCACATACTGAGTAAGAAACCTGTTACGGCAAACAGTTCTAACTGACCATTGTGGAACATTCTGCCAACAAAGACCACGACATTGACTGGAATTCCATTAAAATCTTAGATTCTGAGCAGTCTGTAGTCCTCCCCCCAAAATATTCATAGCCATTAATAAACAGAGACAGGGAGGTTTATTTGCCAGATGTCTATAACAGCTTGCCACCTTGCTCTCAATTAGCAATGTCTATATGTTTTTGTACAGAACTTAGATTCCAATACCATACTTCTGAAACTTTTGTCCAGTTTTCAAAGTTTAACTTTGCTACTTATTTACAATTGTATAAATACTAACAAGGGATCAATAATAATTTGTATAATAATAATAACTAGTGTTTTCATACCTTGAATCGTTTCATGCACAGATGCCAACTGCTGCTCTTTCTCAGGGTCTCCTTTATCTGAAAATTAAGAACAAAATATAGTTCTCATTATGCTTGAAACGTCATGCCTGGTTTGTTAAAATGGCATTCAAAAAGCATTTGATTTTATTTTTACACTCAAAACAATAAGGAGTAGAGCCCCGAAGTTTGCAAAACTGGAAATTCTGTAATGTGTGACATACATATCAACAAAAATAAGGAGAATCTGGAAAAAAGGGATACTTTGGGTAACCAATTTTAGAGTTAGATATCTTACCTGACTTTTCTTCATATTGTTTCCGCACATAGAGTACATTGTCCACCATGGTCACAAACAGCTGACCATGTCCTCCTTGTAGATAAGCTGATAACCTTGTTGGACAAGGACCTGAGAGGGGATACTGAAACATAGCATTTCACACCATTTTATAAGTATTTCAGAATATAAAACTAGGAGCTGCTCAATGAAAAAAAGGAAATCATTTCTAAAAAGATAAAAAAATACCTTTACCAAAAAAGCACAACATTTCAACCCTTCTTCAAAGGCCCTTGATCATGTGACTGACCCTAAGACGAAATGGCATCAAGTGTATAAGCTCACATCATCTAAAAGTCATGTGCTCGAGACCCACTGATGAAGGTTTGAAACATCATGCCTCATGGGTTAAAACATGTTGTCTCATTAGAAATAATTTACCTCTTTAAGCATCATTAGTTACAAGTAACAATGGAAAACTTATTTCACCCTGTAGCTGCTCATGGTCGCTTGTATCTTTTATAAAAAAAAAATTATCCAACATATGATACTCCAATGCAGCATGTGGCATTACCTGTAGCTATTACTTTTACCATTTTCTGCTGTCCCAAGAAAATGAGAGAGAGAGAGAGAGAGAGAGAGAGTAAGAGAGAGAGAGAGATGACTGCCTAATAGTTGAATGAAAGTCAATAATATCTGGACAATTTTTTTACCTGGGTTTTCAAATTTGATGCCTTGCAGGAGTCTAAATGTTGCCTTAACTCTTCACACAACCTTTCCAATAGTTTCCAAGTGTCTTTGTTCACATTGTTATTATCATTGGTTGTATTATTGGTTACATGAGCATTGGTACTTCGAGTCACTTTTGCTCAACATCACAGATGCTGCTAGACAGCGAAATGTCAAGTTTCGGATCTTGAGCCATTGAATCTGTAAAGAAAAAAGGTTTTTATCACAAATCAATACTTTATTACTAGTTTTACCCTCATTTGATTAAGTGAGTAAATGCCCTCTAATGGAACTGCTATGTTAAAAACTAAAATTAATATTGAAATGCTTTAAACAATAAACACGTGTTCAAGAGAGTTACCTCTTCCTCCTCAGACCTCTTCTTTACTTCGTCATTCACACCCCTGTAAAATTGTCATGGAAATTTTTCTCTGTGTTATTTGAATATAAATAATACAAATCACACACTTACACATACAAACTTGTCAAGAAAAATAATTTTTAATTGCCCATTTTGCACTTGACAAAACTAGGAAAAGACAATTTACTGTTCAGTGTTTAGCCTTTTTTTTTTTTTTGCTAACTAACAAAACAAACCTGTCTTCAGGATCCCAGGATAACATGGCTTCCAAATCTCTGTTATCTCTTAGTTTGGCCCATGAAATGGTATCTGACATAAAAATTGAAAAACTTTTAATGAGAATTCTACATGGCAAATTTATCACATGTAAGGATTACAGAATTTCAAATCATGATGAATTTTCTATCAACTACAGGATTTCTGTAGCACAAGAACCTGTAATTTGTAACAAATTTTGATTCAACTTTAAAATATAAATGTTGGACGTGACAGGTGTAATATAATATTTTTAAAGATAATAATTTTGAATGAATTTAAAGCCTGTAACACTAAGCAAAATCATGATAGCTTCTGCTTATTATGACTCAATAGTTCACCTTTGTCAGGCTCTACATCCATGTAGCCCAGCATCTTCTCAGTGCTGCTGTGACTGCAAAAAAATTACATATCATTCACAAAATGAGGACCACATAACAAACGGGAAGACCACATAGTGCTCTGTTTAATGGATTTGTGATTGTAAACAAAAATATTTCTTGATGACACCCTACTCTTGGTGGATCTGCTGATGCATTATTCACAACTCTGATCACTTGAATTATCTGTGTCTGTACATAAAAATACAACACAAACAGTTCTTGCCCTCTGGTTTATACATTGACTAGGTTAATAGTAATTTTACTGAATAACATCTCACCTATCAGTATCTATGGTAAGATCCAGGAGGCGTCGTTCTTCTGTGGCTGAGGCATACTGAAGAGACTGTTGCAGGCGCTCACGAAACTTGACAAACTCCTGGACCTAAAATTTTCAATACTGATGGTGTGAATAATCAAAGTCAATCATCAAAGTATATACTATATTGAATCTTGAAAATATACATTACAATTTACATTACATGATTTTCATAATAATTTCTGTAAGCTTTATCTGCTAAAACTTACCTTAGTAAAAGAACCATATCTGTAAGCTTGTATCAAGTACTCTGTGGTCTGAAATAAAAAAAGCATGATCAAAAACAGTAAGCATTTTCAAATGTAATAAAAATCATTTCAACATTTTTTTTTTTTTATAATAATTTGAATTTATTTTTCTGCTCAATGTTTACATGAAGTGTCAAAACTGAAAAATTCCATCAGATAAGCACTGACAAAGTTTGTTATTAAACCTGAAACAAAACAAATTTCCCTTACATCTTTATGGTTCACAGAAAAGAATCTCAGCATTGATCCATACATGGCACAGGCAGAGTTGAGGAACCCAAGCTTGGAGACACTGTTGCTGACTAGATAACTGGAAAAAAAAAGTAGATCTTCAATGTAAATGGACACTACTTTTAATCTTGAATGAGCAATTTCTTACAGCAGAAAGCACCAGCTACCTTATAATTATACTGCATATTGGAAATCTGGCCAACTGGTGACCATACTTGCCAATTGTATCAACATTTTGTGCCACCACCATTGATGTTGTGCATCTATCTTCACAAAAAAAAAAAAAAAAAAAAAAAAAAGCTTACCCTAATGTATCATTCTGTATATGCTTGATATCCATGCTGTCATACACAGCTGGGCAAGGACCAAAAGCACCTGTAATGGAAGCGGCATAATGTACACATTAAGATGCCAGATTTACTGACACTGGTATTGTCACTGAATCGAACACTGAATAAATTGACTTAAAGATTTTCAATATTTTTGACCCATTCCAAACTAAAAGATAACTACATAACATAATATACAACTTTAAACTAACAAAATGAATGTGCCATGACACATAAAAGTGTACCCACCTAATAAGCAATACAGTTTTATAAGAGCCATTTTAAATTGGAAACTGGATGGACTTTTTTGAAGAGCTTCTTCTAGCTGCACAATTGCTTCCCTGAGAAACTGCTGCTGTCCTGCAAAACAAAAACACAAAATGTTAGTAAGGATAAACCCAATGCTGCTCAGTATAATGAACCAATTGCAAGTCAAATAGATTTTACCCTAGCAAAAACAGAATATACCGCAGTCAGATGACTTTGATAGTTCCAAGAAGAGGTTTATAATAATGTATGTTAATTTTAAAGAAAATGATTCTATACAGTAATTATCGCTCAATTAATAAAAGTCATTGATATAATTTACATGCAACAGTGTATGGAAGAAAAGAGATACAGCTTGAAGACATTATATAGATAGCATAATTTTATATTTCTGTCATCTATGCAGGCACTATTGACAACACTTAAAAATGAAAGAGTTGTCCCACCTGTTTCTCTCCACACATCCACTAACAGATGCACTGCCAAAAGAAGATAGTTATCACTGTGCTGCAAGTCTGTGGTCAATAGCTCCTGGCCTGCAATATGACAGCCAGCATGGATTTTTTATATGTTTTTTACACTATTACACAGGATTTTAAAATCTTTTAACTATCATTATACAGACTGTCTGTTAACACTGGACAAATTAATTCAGTATTTTATTCAGCTGCTTACATTACAACTCAACAGCAGAAGCCATCAATTCATAACTTTTCACATCCAACAAGCAAAGTTTAATGTCACAAGTTCTAAAACGCTTCATACAGTCCATGAATATATAAGACAGTGCATTGTGGCTCACGTACCAAACTGAAGGCCATGTTTGTACCTCTTGAACAATTGTTGAATGAGCAGGAGTTTTTCTTCATGAGTGGTTTTATGATGTTCCCCGATATGTCTCTGCAGCTGACAGACATTCAAGTGTTGCTGCATGTGTTTCTGCTGCAGATTGTTGAAAGATAATAACAAGTCAACAATATATGGGTTATAATTTCAAGTGCATGATATAATCTTTTTATGTTAACTGTAATTATCATGTAAGGTACAAATTAATTTCAATCTCACTTTTAAGTCAGATTAGTTAAGTTATTAAAAGAAAAAAAAGAGTATATCTGGCATGCAACATACTCACATTTTCAGGAAGCTGATCACCAGACACTAAACACACTTTTTCCAACATAAAGTTGCACCACTAAAAAAAAGGGAAAAAATGCAAAATTAATCTTAAAGTTTAATCCTGTTAATGCAGACATTTCTCTGGATAATTTCATATTATGGATACTTTATGATACATTGTACTTAACTGAAACTTGAATATTTGTGAATTTCAGGCCAAACAACATGCCTCTGTAAAATGTTTAAGCAATCTTCATCTTATAAACAGATTTAAATTTCTAACAACACCTGGTGTAAGCTATCTAACTTTCTATTTCCTTGCTACCTTTTGTTTTTCATCATCCTCCAACAAACACATATAGGGTTTCAAATCCATGAAGCAGCATGGCTTGCTTCCATATAAGTCAAAGTATTCTTCTAATAATTGGAAGGCAGAACCTGGGAAAATAGATAAATAATATTACATTTACATAAAACAAACATGTTTACTTAAAACAGGCATTTTTAGTTTAAATTTTGTTTACTTCAGTTAAGTTGGTATTTGAAGACAAGGCCCCTAAAGAAGTGAAAAGTAAATGAATGAAAGCATACCTAGTTTATCTAATTCTGGTTTATTTGATTGGCGTAATAATTTGTACAGTTCCAAGCGAGCAAGGTATGGTCCTCTTTGAGGCTTTTGGTTTTCTTTCGTTTCTTCTATTCTCTCAGAGATAAAGTTCAAAGCTTTTTCTACTGTGTTGTCAATTGGTCCCTCTTCACTGGAAAAAAATTAAAAAGATATATCACTGATCACGCACATTAAAATGGACTACATAAGTTAATAAATATTCTGCAGGAAGTTAATCTGTGTAATATTGTTACTCATGCTGAGAAAAAAATTCACTTCCTACGCAAACTTTTGAAAGCACACCTGCGAAAACTTTCATCCCATCTCTCAGGACCTGACCAGTCATACTGATGTCAAGAGACTGTGCATAGTGCCCAGTCTAGTGAGAACTGCTCATTTTGACACTATATATTTCAATATAGCCTTATTAATGTAAGCTCTTCTGTACAATGATCATTAACATAGTACTTAAAATATATTTTTAAAGACAGATAAAACTTTTTTGATTTGTACCTGCTGCCTGGTTCAGGGCTCCAATCTTGTTCTATAAGAGCAAACAGTGACTTCAGGTACTGGGAATAAAAGTACCAGTTATCTGGACTGAAAAGATGAAAACTGCATAAGAACAAGGGTGAAATTGCCTTCACTCTATTTCACATTTCACCTGCTAACTACATAAGGCACACTGTTGTAACATCTGCAGATGTTCAATTTTTCAACATTTTACAATAATTTAAACCAACTGCTCTTTATCCAAGCACAGGAGCTTTTTGCTAATTGTCAACTCTACGATCATCTTATGTACACTCACTTGTCTAACAGCAATTGTCTGAAAATCATGTTTGCCTGTGGCCACTTTTTTAACTGAATGCAAAGCTCCCCTCTCTTTGTTTGGCAAAGATTCTGCTCCATGGTTAATTTTGCTAAAATGACATGAATTTTGCTAAATGACATGAAGATATAAAAATTTACAACAACAATAACCAATATTTGAAAATACATTACAAATTGATTTTTGTCACAAGCTCTAAAACTCAAAAATGTTAAGAGTTAAAACTACAACTTCAGAACACTAATGGGAAGAAAAATTTTCAAAATTATCATACTCCTAAAAGTTACTATATTTTGATGGTGGGTAAAGATTAAACAGGCAACAAGAAGAACAGCAATAACCATTCATGATGTGTTTCTTTCTCTTTTGCTTTCTGTAATAATAGACATTTTCAGTAGACAGGACAGAACAACCAATTATCTAACTGTAGGTGTAGACACTTAGTGTATGAAAGGATGACTGTGTCACTGGTAATGATGGAACTGGTAAACATATAAATTACATTCTTCTGAACAACTTTACCTCCCAAGGGGCCTTCCACCATTTTAAGTGCCTCTTGTGGCTTATCTAGGAGGTCTAGAATCATCAGATATAGCTGGACCTCTGCAAAATATATAAATAATTTTTTTAAAAACACTGATAAATAAATGTAAAAAAACTAATCTGCACAACACCTCTCACCAAAATGCCAGATAAAGATGTTGTGATGAAGACAATGCAGATATTCATGAAATGGCACAGCTTAAATTTAGAAACTTCAGCGTAAAATATCTACCTGCTTCAGCTTCGATCTTATCATCTTTTACATATTTCTGGGCCATTCTTTCAGCTAATGGAAGGAACATGGTTTTGGCAAGGTTTTCTGTTTCATGGGCCTACACAAGAAACAAAACAAACACAGTTACATAAATTACAATCAAAAACTATTTTGCAAATATTTTTCGATACTAAAGAACATTGGGCTGCTTTACAACTTAAACTGTTCCTTCATTTCCATTCTATGACAGAGATACATTAACTGAAATCCTTTCTATGGTCTGATACATTCATTAAATGAAGTCTACCTGCATAACAATGCTCATCACTGCCCAGAAATAGTACGGATTCTTGTGGGGCTGAAGTCTGTGCAGAGCCATTGCAGTCTGCTGTTGTTTCTTGTAGTTTCCAATTCTGACATAGGCCATGAACAAAGCTGACAGAATTTCTTCGTTGTCTGGCTGTGCCTTACTGGCATTTTCATACAAGGTTGCGATCTGATCCACTGAAAAAATAGGTGGGCATAGAGAATATCCATATGCATTAAGTTAAATGTACTGTAATTGGATCTAATTATTAATTAATAATTTGTGAGAAATTTGTTGCTGTTGTAAAGTTGAAAATAATTCTTACACTCATGCATTTCTTTGTAGCAGATAACCATTGCTTGAAGAGTGGAGTCATCTGTTGGATGCTCTGCATGAACTGCTTTGAGTATATTGCAGCTTTCATCTTGTTTTCCTGTTCTCAAAAGTGCAAGTGCTTTCAAGACCTACAAAGCATAGTATACTCCAAGATTTAATAAACAGGTAACAAAAAATATTGTTTAAACTCTATTATTGAGCATACCAAACATTATCAGTCAAATGTCACTGAACAACACCAAGAAATAACTTATTTTCTAGGAAAAATGAATGCAATATTGGTTGGACTATGTCAAGTGTGTAATCACCTTAGCACATTGAAAGTTCTTCTGCTTCTTGAGAACTTTGTCTGCTTCTTTAATAGCCTCTTTGTTGTTGCCATTGTCCAAACAATCTAAAAGTATGGGCAAAGTTTTAGTTGTAAGCATTTCAATTTGCATCTCCTTTTCCCCTGTTTACAAACAGACTTTATAACCCATCACAAAAACATATTGTGCCCTTATCTCTCAAGAGATAATTCTTATGTTATAAAGCCCCAGGGTGTGCAGGAAAAAGATTAAGCTTTAAATGGCATACTTCATCTTGAAATAGGGAGCAAAAAAGACATTACAGATCTTGGTAAATGTATAATTTTATCAGTGGTAAAAATATTTTTTTCAAGAGTGCTACTACTTCCCATAATGAAAAAAATTGTAACTGTCTAAATGGCAATTAGGTCTGCTCCTGCTTGAGAGAAAGTCTTTGCAAGCTGTTCTGTAGCACAAATAATAAGGCCTAAAGTAACATAAATGATAAAGGCTTCTGAACAGATGTGCTACATGTATATTCACAATAAATGGCAATTATGAATTAGTAACAAAAATGCCATTGTTCAGAACCATGTTATTATTCAAATTGTACAATCACAATTAGAAATAATAATTGCCTTTTCTACAGAAGATCTGTAAATGTAATAAGACGATTTGTAATTTTGCGTCTGCGTATGTACTACACAGCGAAATAGGAAAAACAGTGCGAATCATGGTACAATTGTTTTTTGTGCATAAACTGGAATGAGAACAGAATAAAGAAATAACAATCTGAAATCATTACGTAACAAATTATATACACAGGGAGTATTTGTATTATAAAACGCTCATTAATACCATAAATGGGCCTTAATCTCCTTTCACTGACATCCACATGGACCCGGCCGGCCATATTGCTTTGGAAGTCTCGCGAAGTTGTGCGATACCTGGGATAGTATACATATTCTTACGCCAAATTGTTTGTATTCTTCATACTATGAATGCCAAAAGTTATTTTTTTTAATCAAACTACATTGGAAAAAATCACCATATGTCAAAGTACTATACGTGATGTCCTTTAGAAAGTAAACATTATTATCCAGTTCGTCTTTTTTTCTCGGATGTTGCATGTGTAAAATTTGTGGGAGCTCTTAGGCACTTCCTGTCCGTTGAAATTGTGAAAACCTGTGTAACCAAAAGTAACAGCTTGTTCATGCATCTTCGATACCTGGCATCAGTCGCCTCGAATCGTGTATTTTAGTTGTTAGTGAATTAGCACTTACACATTACCCTTTTTTATGAAAAGACAACAAACAACAGTGGCTATCCCTGTTAATTATTGGTCAACACCAACAAAATGTTTTTTTGTAAACATAACCAGCACTCTTCCTCTCTTTCCTTTTGCGTTTATAAACCTGCACAAACTCAAATTTACTTAGCCTCCTACTTAAGAAAAGTTTTTCTCTGACTAAAAAAGCAGTGTTCCACTGTCACTGTACTCAAAGTTTTGCACCATTCAACCACGTTCTAAAGGAATAATGATCAATTTAAACCAATATAATCAGCAGTAGTCTTGGCATTTCAGCTGGATATTGACATTAGGTACTTTTACTAGAGAGGGTTTATCATTTTAAAGGTCTGAATTGAGGACAAGGGAACTTTGCAGGACATTCAAACAAAATCATGGCATCTGGTCATTTTAAAATATTTGTTTTACATGTATAACTTTAACACTATATGGTTCAGCTGCAATTTTTAAACCCTCTTGTGCTTAGCAAAATGAACAACAACAACAAAACAAGACAAATTGACCTATGTTGGTATTATTTATACTATTTAAGATAAATTATTTTTAACTTCACAAGTGTCAACAAATATATAACATAAGACGTGATTCATATGTTATACCATACATTCTGTCAAAATAGAAACTAAAAGTAATAAAATGCATCAGAATTGTTACTGTTGCATGCTACATATGATTTGCTGAAGAGCACAGTTAATTTTTTTATATCTTTATGTGAAAAACAGTTAAAATAAAAAAATGTCAATGTAAATGCTTCAAATGTTCTGTCCACAGCATTGGAACTGTCAAACTGTTAACTACAGACAAAACTCATAATTTATGTAGACCCATTGACTTCCTTGAATTCCTAAAAATAATATGTTCATGGGAAAATCCAACTGTGTCTGCCTCCCATGACCCTTTTTTAGGTTGATTTTGGCTAATGATACATGGTATTAAATCATCCATTTTTTAACTAGTCCCTTGTTGTGCTGCTTGTGCTGCTTTCATTGCATTTTCATCTGACATAGTTAGTTCACTTAGTCTTTTTCCTATCAGTTCATGAATCTCCATGTATTTGTTAACACAGCGGTCGACACAAACTCCTTCTGCTTTAGTAAGTTCAGCTTCTGAGTACCTCGTTGGTATACATTTTTGTCGACATGCTTTTGTCATTCTGAAAAAAAGAAGTCATCATATTTATTTTACTAAAACTCTTCAAATGGCGATCATATCATAGAAGAATTTCATCAGCTGTGTTATGTTATAATAATAAACATAGGAGGTAATATTAACTGTCAATATTACTATTATTAGCTATATTGATTGAAGAAAAGTTGCTTTATATTCTTGTGATCATATCATGTTTTTAATATCAAGTGAACGGAGCTTGTGCCGTCTCTAACACAAGGATCTTTTCTAATTAACTATATATCTTCTCTTACTGTGTGTGTGGTGCCTGTGTGTGAGAGAGACGTTTATCATAATTTTATTATTTGCAGTTGAACACTGCATAAAAAATTAAATGCCACAAAATTTAGCTTGACTTTATTCTCCATGAAATACTTGCCGATTAAACATATCTGCCATCATTTCTATCTCCAATTCAGCCATCTTTTGCTGTTCTGCGGATAATTGTTGATTAGCCATATTCATTAATCTAGTCACCTATCAGTGGTCAATTATATTTCATCTGAACAATACACACGTGCTTTGACACCGGAAGCTAAAAATAAACATGAACGGAAGTAGTGATTGACCAATAGTAAAATGCTTCACATATTCATCCAATCATTGCAGGCCTGTTAAATTACTCGAGATTGGAAGATGACGACACCAGCACCATTCTCCACACTTACACCTCGTTTTAGAAATAGACGCTAACGTGTATTTAGTTATTTCCTCAATTTACTTTCGAAATCGAGTCCACAGTGGGGAATGCCGACTACTGTTGTTGAGGAAAAAGTGACGTCCCCTCAAAGAGTGGTCACTCATTCTTATTTCCAAACTGACCAGCAGTCTGGATTATTAGTTGCATTAATTTACAATCCCATCAAATTTATGCAACAAAATGGAAGGAGGGTGTGAGGCTGAGATGAAGTTTTGTTCTAATTGGTAGGACTTGCGTGTTTCACTTTCAACTTGGCTTTACTTCTGCACATTCACGTTATCACTGCATTACTCACTTGTTTTGTTGTTTAATGTTATTAAGCAAAAAGTTATAGAGCTTCTAACGAACGTATTTTTTTATGTGTTTAATGTCTAGGCTAAATGCTGAAACACATTTCGTGTTTGATTTTTGGTTATTTGCCTAAATCTTATATATATATATATTTTTGAAGATCTACAATGTATTTATGGTATCTACCTTCTAAGGGTATACTTATTTTGTTTCATGCCTAGACTCTATATAATATTCTGGATCTTTGTCTACATAAATAACAAAATTTTGTGATTACAATTTTGCACAAAAAGAGTAATTTTGATATTGTTAGTATATTTGATGTAAAAGGTAATAATTAAATAAAGAATAAAATTAGCTTTCATCCAATTTTATTATAATTTTTATCTATTTTTTATTTTAGTAAACGTGATATTGCATCAAGTAATTACATGATGCATGAAATTCACTGCAAGAGGAACATTGTATTATGTAAAAATTGCAATGAACCTGTCCCAAGGTCTGAAATGGACAATCACTTTGAAGAAAATCATGCCACAATTGGATGTGAACTTTGCGGTTTGGAAGTAGAAAAACTTGATATTGAGTCTCATAAGGTTAGTGTTTGAAAAAGATCAGATATACAAATCTCAAGGAAAAATATGGAGATTATTGTGTACGTACTAAGTTTGTTCCATTGTCTGGTTGTCAAGTATCTTTCTTTACATGCTGTAGGTGGCATAATGTGTGTCGGTATAGAATGCTTAAATTAGAAAAGTAGATTTTGAATAATTACTGAAGCAAGCAGTGGTAAAAATGAAAAATATAATATACCTGACCAAATATATATAAGTTGCCAGTGTTGCAAAAATTATAATTTATTTTGCTTGACAATGACAAATTTGCCATCAACACTCTTTTCAAAATCTTAAAATTATGTAATCTCTGTTTATAGTTCATATTTCTAAGAATGTTGATGAAAGTTTTATAGCACAGCTATGCTGTGAACTTGCATTACAAATTTTCAGAATTACATAACGTCTATTGTATTTCATATTCTAGGACAATTGTCCAAAACGCCCACAGTCCTGCTGTTTCTGTGAACTAGAATTTCCTGCAGATGATCTCCCCAACCATATATCATACTGTGGCACGCGCACAGAGCAGTGCTTCAAATGTGCTCAATTCATTATGCTTAAAGACCAAGACAAACATGATGAAACAAACTGCACTTATCCGCAAAACACAAATGGACATACACCGTTAAACAGAAGGACAGAAACCCCAGAAGTTGTTGAGCTGAATCCTTTTTCAATGCAAGAGTTAGAAAGAATGATGAACAGGGCACAAGTTGGTGTAGGAGGAAGGATCAACAATCCTGTGGGGAGAGGAGGTGGTAGGAGAGGAGGGGTGAAGGTTACGAATGCTGCAAGAAGAACACAGGGAGGACGTGGAGTAGCACAGGGCACAAATTCCCTATTGAAAAAGATGTCCAATGAAAGCAGACAGTCCAGGAAAACTCCAGGAAGAAATCTAAATCAGAGTCTAGGTAAAAAGAGAACTTGTTTTCAATGCCAAATTGTCTTTTTGTTATGGTTATTCATTTCAGATATTATAAATTTATTTATTATTTATCTTACCATTAGGTGGATGGAAAGAAACATGGGAATTTTCAATTTCAGAAATTCATTATTAGAATCATGAGAATACGTATTTTTATAATCCACCTGCTGTGCATTTTTCAATGTTTCTTATTCTATATGTTTTGCCATATATAAATTTTGCAATAGTAGTTTTTAAGATTAATTCTCACCCCTTTTTTGGTGAGTGAATTTTGTTTGTCATATTTACATGGGAAACAATTAGAAATATTACCTTTCGTAATTGATAAACATGTTTTTATTAGAAGCAGATGGAGATGATGGTGAAGATTTAGACCACCTGTTAGCACTTCATCTTGCACATGACTTGAACTCTGCTACTGAAACTGAAGGTGGCACAGAAGCAGACCTCCTGCAGTATTTAAATGAAATTGAGGAAGAAACACCCTCTGATGACATATCTTCACATAACTTTTATATGCCAGGTATAGTCTGTGAATATGATGAAGTTTTCTGCATTAATGTAATAATATTTCATTTATGTTTTTGGTTTCTGTTTTCTTTTGCCATTGAAGCTTAAAGATCCCCTCCCCCTTACAAATATTTACAGAAATTTTAAAATTCCACTACTAATATTATGTCAGAGAAAATTGTCTGACAGGGATAGTAGAATTTATATCCCAAAACTATTTTTCTTTAAATACTATGCTAGATTTCAATATACTGTAAGCAGTCTGTAGATAATGATAAATAATTGATTTCCATTTGTGCAGATGATCCAGCACTTCCCTGTGAACACTGTGGAGTAGATATACCAGCCAGCATGCTTCTTCAGCACCAGGTAAGCAGCCCATGTACATATAACTGGCATACACTAACTTTTGTTTTCTTTTTATTTTTCTGTCATCTTATTATATTTACCAGTCTCTTGAAAAATGTAAAAATACTGACATAAGTTTTACTCAAATAAAAATGTAAATATGTATTGCCAATGGACTGTACAATGTTGCATTATATGTCCCCTTGAGGGAATGTCGGGAGAAAAAATATTACTCCACATATATAACAAATTACAAAAGTTGCTAATTACTTTTGGTTCTGTTAAGAAGTAGGCTCATATTAGTTAGAATATTTCTTTTCAGAATAATTGTCTCCAAGACATAACGTCAGTCAGTAACTCCCAAACTACAGGAAATCGCCAAAGAAACAATCAGCAACAACATTTACCAAGCACACCATCAGCATTACCACACATAGTTGATAACCTTTCTTATGTTGCTGCTCAAGAATGGTACCAAATATTTTTTTCTTTCTTTCACTTTTAATTTATTTAGGAAGCATAGATGTTATATTGTTTTCAAATTGCAGATAATGCAGATATGTAAATATATGCACATCAATGGAATTAAAATTAAATGGTCTTCTTACAGCTTATTAGTTCTTTAGTGCTACTGATAAAGATTTTCATCTCTTACATAAATAATTATTTATGATTTTTGTAATCTTTTTCAGTTATTCTAATATTTGTTGTTCTAATATTTTTTGAATGTTTGTAAAGGTACTCCCAGCCAGTGCCTGCAGAGTTTACCACAGCAGATGATGTGATGTTACCATGTGAATTCTGTGATGCACTTTTTCCCATAGATTTTTTGGTTCAACATCAGGTAAGAAAAGAAAAATATATATTATTTAGTTCAAATCTTTTCAATCTATTTTTGAGAAGAACTTTTTTTCTAAGTAAAAGCTCTTTAACATGAAAAAAAAGATGCAAATGCTTTTTGTGTTACAAACAATTATTTGAAACAATTCAGTTTAATAGAATTATGGTTGATTTCATGTAAATACCAGTTTTTTTCTCTAAATGCATTCTTCGGGTCCTAATATTAACATCTACATCATATGTTTTTACTTTTGATTGTGGTTTATTGTAGGCTGTGTGTCCTTCCAATGTAACTCAAACCCCCAGGGTAATGTCCCCAGCTGTACAGCATACTAGGATACCACCAAGAATCAATAGTGTAACTGCTGAGTTAGAAACTGGAAGAGATTCTAGAAGGACACTAAGGAGGCAACAAGATCCTTCCTTTAGAATGCTAGACAGCGACACTGAATTAAAAAGCCAAAAGAATAGTAGTGAAACCACAGGTCAAAAGAATAAGGCTAAAATGACCAAAGTGGATAATAGTCAGAAGACTGTCAATAGAATAACAGGACATGCTCAAGGATTTTCACAAACTGCTTTTCCAGCCCAAAAAGTGGAAGCACGAGACAAGTGGGTAAGAGCAGAAGAACCAGTGTCTTCCATGAGACAAGATACACGCAGGAAGAACAGTGCTTCTAGAACTCAAGAAATTTTACACGATTTAGTGACACCTCCCCCCATCACATCATATGATTTATTAGGACATTTAAACCCCAAGGACAGGGGAAGTAAAGGAGTGAAGAACACCAAGAACAGGAGCAGTTATGAAAGGCCTGGAGCTACAGCTTCCCATGACAAGAATAGGACTCCACAGAATGATAAAAGTTTAGCCTGGAGTGGCAGCCCTCACAGTGGTATGTGTGGTGTTCATTTTTGTGATTTGTATTGCAATTTTGGTTTGAATAATCATCAGCATCTTTTGTCTCAGGCAAAGGTTGTCAACAGTTACAGTAATTACAAATTCCAGATTTAAATAGCATTCTTACATTTACTAATGTAAGACTTTACAATCTGATATGATATTGTGATGGATATTACTTCCATCTTTATTATACAAGGTGCTCAACCAAAAAACAAGCCTTCCCTTGCACAAAGAAGTGAAGATGACAGTTCAGTGAAAGCTAATGCTGGGTATCAGGCAAGCTTTGCCACTAGAGGCAGCACTGAACCACGCAGAGGGAGAAGGTCAAGGTTTGTAACCATTTGAAAGCCCATTATTGTCATCTGAAACAAAATGAAATCAACTTTCTTTTAATGGGTGAACTTTTATGGGTGGCCAAAAGAGCAAAAATTCATGTCGTTGATTTAGTTATGTTTCGTCCATTCACTGCCTTCCCATTGATTCAGTTTCAAGTTTAAACGACCCTGTCATAAATTCAGCATCAATTTTCGTCAATTCAATTATCAAACATTTCTCATCAACGGTGTATTAAAACCAATGCTGTCGCTATTTTCGTCGATCGTGTAACTATTCTCGTCGATTGTGTAACTATTCTCAGTGATCGTCTAACTGTTCTCGTCAATCCTGTAACGTCACTTCATCATTCATCAATAAATCGCCAGAGGGCGCTGTGGTAGCACATTGGCCTATCACATGACTATCAAAATGGCAGCCAACAAAATGATTGATAGTGAAATAAGAAAATTTTCTCAACAATTTCAATTTTAATTGTTAACTAGANATATTTCATTTATGTTTTTGGTTTCTGTTTTCTTTTGCCATTGAAGCTTAAAGATCCCCTCCCCCTTACAAATATTTACAGAAATTTTAAAATTCCACTACTTATATTATGTCAGAGAAAATTGTCTGACAGGGATAGTAGAATTTAGATCCCAAAACTATTTTTCTTTAAATACTATGCTAAATTTCAATATACTATAAGCACTCTGTAGATAATGATAAATAATTGATTTCCATTTGTGCAGATGATCCAGCACTTCCCTGTGAACACTGTGGAGTAGATATACCAGCCAGCATGCTTCTTCAGCACCAGGTTAGCAGCCCATATACATATAACTGGCATACACTAACTTTTGTTTTCTTTTTATTTTTCTGTCATCTTATTATATTTACCAGTCTCTTGAAAAATGTAAAAATACTGACATAAGTTTTACTCAAATAAAAATGTAAATATGTATTACCAATGGACTGTACAATGTTGCATTATATGTCCCCTTGAGGGAATGTCGGGAGAAAAAATATTACTCCACATATATAACAAATTACAAAAGTTGCTAATTACTTTTGGTTCTGTTAAGAAGTAGTCTCATATTAGTTAGAATATTACTTTTCAGAATAATTGTCTCCAAGACATAACGTCAGTCAATAACTCCCAAACTACAGGAAATCGCCAAAGAAACAATCAGCAACAACATTTACCAAGCACACCATCAGCATTACCACACATAGTTGATAACCTTTCTTATGTTGCTGCTCAAGAATGGTACCAAATATTTTTTTCTTTCTTTCACTTTTAATTTATTTAGGAAGCATAGATGTTATATTGTTTTCAAATTGCAGATAATGCAGATATGTAAATATATGCACATCAATGGAATTAAAATTAAATGGTCTTCTTACAGCTTATCAGTTCTTTAGTGCTACTGATAAAGATTTTCATCTCTTACGTAAATAATTATTTATGATTTTTGTAATCTTTTTCATTTATTCTAATATTTGTTGTTCTAATATTTTTTGAATGTTTGTAAAGGTACTCCCAGCCAGTGCCTGCAGAGTTTACCACAGCAGATGATGTGATGTTACCATGTGAATTCTGTGATGCACTTTTTCCCATAGATTTTTTGGTTCAACATCAGGTAAGAAAAGAAAAATATATATTATTTAGTTCAAATCTTTTCAATCTATTTTTGAGAAGAACTTTTTTTCTAAGTAAAAGCTCTTTAACATGAAAAAAAAGATGCAAATGCTTTTTGTGTTACAAACAATTATTTGAAACAATTAAGTTTAATAGAATTATGGTTGATTTCATGTAAATACCAGTTTTTTTTCTCTAAATGCATTCTTTGGGTCCTAATATTAACATCTACATCATATGTTTTTACTTTTGATTGTGGTTTATTGTAGGCTGTGTGTCCTTCCAATGTAACTCAAACCCCCAGGGTAATGTCCCCAGCTGTACAGCATACTAGGATACCACCAAGAATCAATAGTGTAACTGCTGAGTTAGAAACTGGAAGAGATTCTAGAAGGACACTAAGGAGGCAACAAGATCCTTCCTTTAGAATGCTAGACAGCGACACCGAATTAAAAAGCCAAAAGAATAGTAGTGAAACCACAGGTCAAAAGAATAAGGCTAAAATGACCAAAGTGGATAATAGTCAGAAGACTGTCAATAGAATAACAGGACACGCTCAAGGATTTTCACAAACTGCTTTTCCAGCCCAAAAAGTGGAAGCACGAGACAAGTGGGTAAGAGCAGAAGAACCAGTGTCTTCCACAAGACAAGATACACGCAGGAAGAACAGTGCTTCTAGAACTCAAGAAATTTTACACGATTTAGTGACACCTCCCCCCATCACATCATATGATTTATTAGGACATTTAAACCCCAAGGACAGGGGAAGTAAAGGAGTGAAGAACACCAAGAACAGGAGCAGTTATGAAAGGCCTGGAGCTACAGCTTCCCATGACAAGAATAGGACTCCACAGAATGATAAAAGTTTAGCCTGGAGTGGCAGCCCTCACAGTGGTATGTGTGGTGTTCATTTTTGTGATTTGTATTGCAATTTTGGTTTGAATAATCATCAGCATCTTTTGTCTCAGGCAAACGTTGTCAACAGTTACAGTAATTACAAATTCCAGATTTAAATAGCATTCTTACATTTACTAATGTAAGACTACAATCTGATATGATATTGTGATGGATATTACTTCCATCTTTATTATACAAGGTGCTCAACCAAAAAACAAGCCTTCCCTTGCACAAAGAAGTGAAGAAGATGACAGTTCAGTGAAAGCTAATGCTGGGTATCAGGCAAGCTTTGCCACTAGAGGCAGCACTGAACCACGCAGAGGGAGAAGGTCAAGGTTTGTAACCATTTGAAAGCCCATTATTGTCATCTGAAACAAAATGAAATCAACTTTCTTTTAATGGGTGAACTTTTATGGGCGGTCAAAAGAGCAAAAATTCATGTTGTTGATTTAGTTATGTTTCGTCCATTCACTGCCTTCCCATTGATTCAGTTTCAAGTTTAAACGACCCTGTCATAAATTCAGCATCAATTTTCGTCAATTCAATTATCAAACATTTCTCATCAGTGGTGTATTAAAACCAATGCTGTCGCTATTTTCGTCGATCGTGTAACTATTCTCGTCGATTGTGTAACTATTCTCGGTGATTGTCTAACTGTTCTCGTCAATCCTGTAACGTCACTTCATCATTCATCGATCAATCGCCAGAGGGCGATGTGGTAGCACATTGGCCTATCACATGACTATCAAAATGGCAGCCAACAAAATGATTGATAGTAAAATAAGAAAATTTTCTCAACAATTTCAATTTTAATTGTTAATAATTAAAATCTATTCGGTTGTAACAACATTTTTTACTAGTTGTTTTCAACTCTGACCATGGCTGTCTGAGTTAAAAATTACCGCGTGATTTACAGACAGAAGCACGTGTTGCTACCGCAGCGCCCTCTGGCGATCGATCGATGAATGATGAAGTGACGTTACAGGATCGACGAGAACAGTTACGCGATCGACGAGAATAATTTGACGATCGACGAAAATAGTGACAGCATTTGTTTTAATACACCATTGACGAGAAATGTTTGACAATTGAATTGACGAAAATTGATGCTGAATTTATGATAGGGTCGTTTAAACTTGAAACTGAATCGCTGGGAAGGCAGTGAATCGACGAAACATAACTGAATCGACGTCATGAATTTTTGCACTTTTGGCCACCTATAAACTTTAAGTATCTCCTGTGCATTGTACATTTGGTCAACCAGCTAGTGCATTATGTAGTTTTGAAATAAGTACTAAAGGCTGATGTGCTGAACCAAATCTTTCAATAATTCTTAAAGAAACACTTTAGAAATGTTTCATCTTCTGTCAATCATACAAATTATTGTAGGATTGCAAGAAAAAGTTAAAATGAATTTAAAAAAAAAACAAAAACAAGAAAACACTAATTATTTCTTATAAATTAAAATGTTCCTTTCAGAAACGTTCCAGCAGCCACAATACGGTCAGACGCCTTGGATTATCTTGGACCCTCGCTCAGAGTGGAAACACAGGAAGGTGGTCCACAAGATTGGGAAGAGGGAGAGGGGAGATCTAAGGTATTTAATTTATTAGTCAAAAACTAATTATTAGTCAAAATTTTATTTAATCAGAGTACTTTATTTAAATTATATTTAGAAAAAATGTATTAAGGAAAACAAATTGGTGTTACTTGAACTGAAATAAGGTATACAATTTTGTAAGAGGAAGTAAAAAAAATGCAATGCAGAACACAAAAAATCAATATGTGGTCATCTTATCTGTAAGTCTGATTTATTAATTTCAGATTTTAAGAAATATTAATGTTCTGGATCACTGAATTTAGGACTTTTTTTCCAGAGAACCTCCAGAAGCAGGACAAAGAAAGATTTGTGAAACAAAGGAATTTGTGATTTGCTAATTTAATTTTTGTGGTCAATTTATTTTAAATGATATAAATTAATTTTAAAGTATTTGTTATCTGTACCCTCTAATCACAGTGTTATTGATTATACGTGAGGAAAAAACAAATTTATATTAGATAAACTGCTGAAAAAAATCTCATTTTTTGTTCAGACCGTTCATGATGTGAAGTTCTGACCTAAAGTTACCTGCAAGTTTTGTAGATGAAGTAGGTCATAGTTATTGGAATGTGCCAGTTTGTTAAATAATGCAATTAAAAACGGCTTTTTTATCTCCCGTGAGGAGAATGTCTTGTGCAACTCAAACTTTGAGGCCAATGTAACTATAAGGTTGATTAACAAGAATGTTATGGGAGTGATTTAACTTTCCATCAGTAAATGTTTGCAGTGCAAACTAAGGGGTTTTTCTTAACAGACTGGAGAAATAATTTAAGAAATTGTGTTTAACACAAGCACTAATTTAGTGCTTGTGTTCTTAATGTTAATAAATGTCTCATAACATGGGACACTTCCTGAAAAGTTGTTTTTATCTGACATTCTGTTCATTCAAACAGAATTTTCAACTCCTTATGTTGATTATTAAATCATGCCCGATTATTGCATTCAGAAATGCACTTGGCCTGGATGTGTATAAACATTGACTGACAGAGATTTAACAAATTTTGAAAGGTCCTTTATTCAGAATAAGTTAATAACAATAACACAAGAAGAGCCCATTAAAACTTTTCTTCTTCATGTAGCATGAGGTGATGAGAGCACATCAATTCCAATATCATACTAATATTTATATCTGATTAATTTATTAACCAATAATCTAACTTTTCTTGGAAATATAATGGGACTAAGATGGGATACACATGTGACATGAAAACAGTGCTCAAAACTGATCCACATCATTTTCCTTAACAAAATCTACAAAAATATTCCTACCTGGTGAGGTGTATAAATAAAACTTGTGAAATGGATTCTTATCTTCATTGTTAATACAAGCTGATATTTATGATAATCATATAAAAATTTCCTGTTCAAGAAATAATTATCTTGCACCCTTGTCTTCCTATTTACAAAGAATATTGCACGCTCTTGAAAAAAATAATAAAGATACAGGCAAAAATATAAATGCAAAAATTGACCTTTCCCTTTTAAAATCGGTATAAAATAAAAATTACAATTAAAAATCAGAATACAGCAATTGACTCACATTAAGATAATTTCTCATTTATCAAAAGAGCGTCAAGACTGTTGGGTCAGTTTTCCAGAAATAACTAATGCTTACAATGACCCAACAACACTTTAGCCTTCATAACAGAAGGTCAAGGAATGTATACAGGTAATTTTAAGAGTGCTTGTTATCCATGTTATGATACATGAGAAAATATATAATTACTCTAGGACACTCTAAAATGTTAGAACATTTACATTACTCACTATATAGGGGCAAGCAAAAGAGATGAAATTCTGAGCTAGAACACATTAAATATCTACATCTCTATATATTTTCATATCACAAATCGGTTTGTGGAACACCAAATTTCAACACATTAAATGAACATAACAGTGAACTTGAGCATATGTACTGTTTGCTAGTTTTTTTTTTTTTTTTTTTCAGTCCTACTTGGGACTTGAATTTAAAGCTGGGTGTGCACAAAATAACTGACTTGACTCTGGTTTAGTACAACCCACAACTGGATCTGGCTGTGTTTTGGGACTGAAGAGACTATGAAATCTAATCTCCAGTAGACAGTTGACATTAAAGCAGACCATACACGCCTGGGTTTGGTGCCCACAATTTGTGCGCCATGTTTTGGCAGGTGTAAACTAAGCATTGTTTCTTATCTGAGTTACACAATACTGGATCCTCAAAATGTTGCATCTTCAGTACTTGGCAAATATTTAATTGAATATGCCTGACGCATATACTGGTATATATATCCTTTCAGGATTTGATCACTTCAGAGTTGGTAAATTATGAAAAGAAAACCCTCTTCTTCCTTTTACTGCACAATAGATATAGACTACATGGTAGGCTGAAATTAGAAATGGAACAAAACTGTATGACAGGAAAATCAATACTAAGTGATTAAAATGCAACAATCATGCTTTTAGTAGTAAAGTGTCTTCTATATTTGATAAAACATAACAGCACAGCAGTACTAGATTGGTGCTGTTGTTGAGGGGTCTTTGTTATGGCCACTGGCTGTTGTAATGTAAATATACCATAGACTGGCATTGTTGTATTCTTTTTCTTTACTTCTCTCTCCTTTAAACATACATGATATGCTGTATTTATACTTTCTACATGAACTTATACACCTCAACAGTCTTGGGTTTAATTAACTACAGGGTATATGTGACGTATCTTTTGCATAGCACTAGTGAAGTTCACCTGTTCCACATGCTCTCAATACTGAATGCTTAAAATAAATAATCTTACAGAGCTTTTCGGCCATATATAACCACTTACCTCCTGGGATGAAACAGATTCCACCAGCAATGAAGAAAACAAAACTCTGAACGGCTATAAAAGACAACAACAGCCAATTCTTACTTATCAAGGCAAAGAAAACATTGAAGAAAATTTTGCTAGTATCCCAATCTCTTACAATAAGACCAACATGAATTTTATTAAAAATACCTGCAAAGCTTTATACTGCATTTGAACATGCCCAATATATGTGAAACCCTGAAGCTAAGAAATTATGCCTGATGAAAATAGTTTTCTGATGACTGCAGTGGGAATTCTTGGCACACCTGAGTTGCCGAATACAGGCCAATCTATGTGTGTGGGCTTATTCTCCTTTATTAGTCTCTCAGCAAAATCAGTAAATTACCAATCTGTTATAGATCCATTTCTCTCTCAACAAAGGTTAAAGAGCACTGATTTCTTTAAAGTTAACAACTTCTTCCAGATAACTGAGATTTGAACACAATAAAAAAATAAAGACAATCTCTATTCATTT